ATATACGCGATTTAAATCCGGAAAAATAGTTTCATTTCCTATGCGTAACAATCGCGAAAACCTAAGAACTCCAAATAATAATAATAATTTTTGGACACTTACGCGATTATGTCTTTCGTTGCTTTTTATACATGACGAGGTGTTAATTCATGCAGCTTCAAAATCTTTCTTTCTTCCGCTTTTTCTTCGCATACCTCTATCTTTTTCTTTAAAACTTTCATATATAATCGGATCGCTTTTGATCTTTGCCTTTCTAGCATGTTCCTTCATCTTCTTGATTCCAATTTTTGTCTTTCTAATTCTTCTAATTTTTCTGTTTTGATTTTCCTTATTCATTTTCAGTGGGCAGCAAATAGTAATACACTTGGTACTTGGTGTAACGGGCTTGTTTATATTTACGCAAGTACTCATTGCTAGTACAAGCGGAACAACCGGAAATAACATATTCGAAATGAACGTATTTTTTTGGATCAATAGCCATGACCAGGAAAGATCAGGAAACGTTGTTTGAAAAAGCAATTATAGACAACATTGTTGTAATTTATAAATGATATTGTATTAATGTTTAGTTACCAATATCGTGGTAGCTCAATGGTTTTTTGGCAATTGGTGCAGAACGAAACCTCCGAGTGCACCTCTAACTGAAGCTTTTAGTTCGAAGGCAGAGGCTTCCAACTCCGAGTATCCTACTTAACCACCTAGATACACTTCTCATTCCACCTTTTGTTATAAATGTAAAATATTATCATCCTCTGACGTGATACAAAATCACGTATCACGTATGGCAGAGGAAAGATTGTCAAAGCGCATCTTCTACTCTGAACGTGAGGTAGGTAGATGGAAACTTGGCGGTCAACTCCTTAGGTATAAAGAAGTTTAAAACCGACATTTAAGAAGATGCAACGATGAGCCGTCTCCATGGAAAAATTTGGCAGCATTGAGACTTAAATGAGGGGATTGTTAAGAGGCAAGTCCAGGGATTTGAAGAATAGCGTGTAGCTGAACTCGTAACAAGATAAAGCAAACACAAGGTGAATAAAAATTAGAAATATATCACCTAAATTCCCGTAAATGTAAAAACAAATTAAAAAAATGGCTAGTAACCATAAATTATAACGATACAGAAGCACTATTACAATAAACCTCTTGCTTTGGAATACGACAGAAAATTATAAAATAATAAAATAAATAATAAAACCATTAATATTGGATTATAACCACAGCAAAAATAATATTAGAATTACAATATAACCACAATAGAAATACTATTAAAATATAGTTATCGTTATCATACGACACACATACTTACACAGTAACAGCACACGCACACGCACACCCACACGCACACACGCACGCACACACACACACACACACACACACACACACACACACACACACACAC